TTTTTTTTTTGTATTTAAATTTCTTTAAAATTAAAACATGATTACAGTAGTATAGTAATTAAATAATACATACTATATTACTATTACCTTCTAAAAAGTCATTTTAGGGACCCATTATTTGCAATCAAGTCAAACAAAAATTGTTTAATTTGATGGAAAAAAACAAATTGATAAATACTCATAGCGATATTCAAAAAACTAATGAAAATATCGATTTATAATATTTCATATTRCCCGCATAATATTGTATAGTAAAACATAAATATTTTGTATAATTTTATAATGTATATTTTTGTTTAAARCTATTCCGTTTGTATGTGTAAAATGTAAATACTCGCGTTTGTCGAACCGTTCGATTTTATAATACCGGCACACTAAGCAGACTTAAATGTATTGTTAATTTTGTTGATTTTAGCTAATTTTGTATCTTGTAAGCAGATGTCACGTTGTCGACGGTCTTCCTGCGTTCAATGATATTTTTTGTCTATAATTTTTTTTTCATTTCACTCRTCTCTCTTTTATTTTTAGTTATGTGTTTTTTTCTCTTGTATGCCTTATACTTAGTAATATTTTAATATAATGTACACGATGACTAATAAATTGTAAATTTTATAGTCTTAAACATTTTAGTTTTTAATTCAAACCATATATAATTATTTATGCATTCTATTTTAATATTGATGATGAAAAAATATTTTAATAACATATAATATGTCACACAAGCCTCCATCCTTCGCCATTTTCAAAATATTGGAATTTTATTACTTATTCTATCATTTAGTAGGTATTACATTATTTATACGAATTTTTAAGTAGTGRTTCAGAATCGTTCTGACCGTAAAAGCTCAGATATAACATCATAAACTCTTCGAAGGGTGGCTTGACATCACACTAAATCCCGTCACTGGAAATTTTTATTTACCAATTCTTTRCGCCAATATTCGAACACACATTATAAACATTCATCCCCCCTTTAAAKAACTAAAGACTGGTCAGAATTAACTTATGGGCCTTAACCACTTATGCTTGTTCTTTTTACTTTCTGGCTCCTGCACAGCAGATTATTAGGTTAATCATTAACTTTAAATACATTATAGTATAATAGTGGTTAATCAATAATAGTACCCACCTATATAAATTTTTTTATAAATAAATCAACTTTTCTGTCTAGACGCCGATCAGTCAAATAAGTAGCTCTTAAATTACATATTTGCCATCCATCTATGTCGAGCGATCAGTATAAGAATTCATAATTTTTCAAAAAAATGTATGATTTTTATGTATACGTCCACTAATCCTTTAATAACTATTTCACAAATAAACTTAAGCTAGTTATTTTGGTTGTACCTATGATAAAATACACAAAAAATCATATGTTGCGTTAATTATATTAACAAAATATTTACGATATTATCACTCCATTCTAAGAATACATACCACATTCTTGCTTTAAATTAAATTAGATATAAAAATGGTATGTAGTTGCARTGGTGTATTTTGGGGTTTTTTCTGGGTGGGGGGAGGGGGTGTTTTGACTCCTAGCAATATTTTTCTCCACAAATATTAACATGGATTCACTATAAATTCATRTATAATTACAATATACCTTAATACGTTATAAGTATGAAAAAATCTTAGGACTGCTATCAAAATTTTTAATTTGTTTTTGCAAAAAATTAGTTTAGCCAACTGTAAAACGAATAGAAAATCCACTTAATTCAGTTTTTATCTTACAATAATAGTATAGTTAAGTACAAGTGCCTACTTCGTTGGTCAACTATGACGTACCTACTATACGTGTTGACTACGGACTTCCACTCAAATATATATTTTGTGTTTAAACCAGTGCTAAACTAATTCGTAGTTAATCGCAACGAAAATAATATTATTTTTGTTTAATATAATAATTCTATTGCTGTATTACAAATGTCAAATATTAATATACTGAATATTACTGACATACTGCAGTGTATATAGTGTACTGTAGCCCTCTGGCGTTCCTCGAATAAGAACGATAAACCAATTTAAGTAAATGTTAATAATTACTATTCTAATRTTAAATTATGAAAATGAAATATTTTAAAATCAATCAGAGCCGGTGCTAACTTTTGCGAGGCTCTGGGCAAAACTTATTCTACCAATAAACATAGTCACCTAAAGCCTATATCCTATACGTTTTTTAGGCATAACATTTTTCAATGCAYATTTTAAGCGCGGGGCACTAGACAAAAACGCCAAAAAAATTAGACAAAAAAGTTTGAAATTGAAGCATTATTTCGACTAGTTATGATGTACCTACACAGGTCACAAACACAAAAAAAACGCACATCATTGTAAAATCAATACATTCATCACTCCGCTCAGAATCTAAAATAATAATACAATGAGACAGAATATTTTCTTAGGAAAAGGTATATTATAGGAAAAGTTAACGTTTTGTGTGAACTTTGGATTTTAGATTTTAGAATGAACWATTTAATTTCATCGTGTGCCGCGTAAAATTTTTTAAATGCCCGCGGACCATATAGTGGAGGATCACTGTTTATATAGCTAATAACCGGTGTTACCTTGGAAAAGAGATTATAAGATTATAAGCATATTATTATACTCCGTTCAGCGAGAGAACAAGCCGAGCGCCGCCGACCAAAACTGCTGGTTCTCCACTCAACACCCCGCCCCGTAGGAGAATCGGTTTCGWGATAGCAGGGTGTCGGGRTGGGTGGGGGGTCGTGAGGAATCGGGCTGTTGTCTCGCTATGGCTGTTGTATATACTGCCGCCGATGCTGCCATCGAAACTAAAGAAAAATAGCA